GGGGGGGGCCTGGAGGGGCCTCTAAGCCCCTCACACTCCTCGGAAGGAGCTAGCCCTGCCGACGCCTTGACCCTGGCCTTCTGGTCTCCAGACTGTGAGAAGCAAACATCTGCTGTTTGAGCTGCTCAGTGTGCGGTACTTGGTTACGGCGGCTCTAGCAAATTAGTACGGGAACCATGAATCTGCGTCGTCCTCCCGTCCCCTTTCCACAGACGCAGGAACATTCGACCCAGTCCTGAGAGAACAAGGCCAGGTTGCTGAGTTTAACTCATTAGGCGACTGGACTGAGGTTTCTTAAGAGAGCTGGCGAGAACCCCACACGTGGGTGAGTTGCTCCTCGTGAGGTCTCCCAAGCCTCCTTCTAAGGTTTCCAAGCCCGGAAGAAGTTGTTGATTCTGGTGATTTGAGGCTCTCTGCTCGCTCACTCTCTGACTCCCCCCACGGCCTCTGCCCTTGCCCAAGAACAGGCCTCGGGCTCTGAGTTTTGGTCTGTCCTCTCCCCTTCCCAGCCCCACCTTTGCTGGGGTGGGCCTTCCCTAGAAGGCCTAGCCATGCTTCCAGAGCCAGTGCAGGTCTCACTGGCCCCAGGATGCGTGTGCCGGGTTCCCCTGGGGCCAGGCTGGCCGGCCTCGCATGGTCCGGGGCTGGGCAGGTGAAGCACTGAGTGCCCGGCGCAGGGAAGTAGAGCCCTGTCTGTCCTCCTTATCCTTCAGTGAGGGAGGAAAGAGATGGGGTCATCTTCATCCTCACGCCCTCTGCGCCCACCTTGGAGCCAGGACTCGGCACGGCACCCCCTCATATGGGGGGAGAGGTTTGTGAATGAAAAGAGGTTTGGGGTGAGGTCTTAGGCACAGATGGTTGAAAGTCGGATCCTAGGTTAGAACATTCTGGCTGCTTAATGTGCAAAGATAACCCGAGGGAGAGATCCTTTCTACCGTCCCCAGACCCGCAAGGCCACTGTGAGGGGTGGCAAAGGACAGAGGGGCTGCTGGCGGCGGAGCTGGGACAGATCTGGAGAAGCTCTGACGGCGCTCAGGCCCTGGGTAAAACCTGTTCTGCTCCGGGGATCGACCTCACCTCCTGCCACGCCTCACACTTCAGCCACGCCCGGCTACTCCCTGTTCCCTGAATACACAAGCGCGATTTCCCCGCAGCCTGGAAGGCACCTCCTTGGAATGTTCCTCTGATCCTCCAGGCTCAGTTGATCCATCTCTGGGCTGCCGGCCACTCCCGTCACCATATGGGATTGCCCGGAAGGTCCAGGACTGCAGACAAGGCTCCGTTGGGAGATCTTAGATTCCTTGAGAGCCCACCCTAGGCTTTCCTCCCGACGACCAGTACGTAGTAGGTGTTTAATACATCTTTGTTGTGTGAATGAAAATTTACCTAAATTGGTCAACTGTTTTACCTGCAGAAGTGATCGAATGGTTAAGGGATGCAGTTTTAAGTCTTTATGAAAATGCTCAACACGCAGAGTTCTTTGATTCTCGGCGTGTGTTTCACGTGTTCCTATGATGACGGCGGCTTGGCTGAAGCCAGCGCACGGGAGGCCTCCTTCCCCACCGCGCATGCCTGGCGAGCCCTGGCCAGCCTCCTGCAGGGAGCTCTGTGTCCCCACTCTGCAGAGAGGCCCAGTGCTTCTGTCGTGAGTTTCCTGGATCCAACAGTTAACCCTTTCAACAGCATCACTTTTATAATGCGGAGTTTGGTTCTTCTGTAATAAGGATGAAAATTCAAGAGAAAGGTCTACAGAAAGGTTAT